AAAGCACACCATCGGGAGGGTCTTAAAAATGAAAACAGGGATCTCGAATGGACCTTGGTACAACCTTCACTTTTAGATGTGAATGCAGAATTCAAGTTAAAATAAAGCTTCTCTAAAAACTACGTGACAAGAAATGACGAGTGCTTCAGTCAAGAAACCACACGCAATGCATTAAAATCTCAAGCAAGAACAGGAAGGCAATTTAAAAAGAAACTATTCTAATCTGAAATAAAAAGGAAAATAGGACATGCGTGTTAACACAGTCTGGTGGCCTAACCAGCTAAAAAGCCTCATAGATTCAGTGTGCTAGAGGAATTAGATAACATCCTTTGCTCTCAGTGCTGTCCCTGACTTTAAGAGCATCACAGGGAAAAAAGCTGAGCCTCTCTGAATGGGATTTCACTGCCTTAAAGGTGCTCATTTCTCCTCACATCTCCTTGGCTCACTCTCCAGCACACCTTCCACGAGCAAATGCACCAGAGGTCAGGTACGAACAATTGTCCTCTTCCCAGGCTGCTCCTGACTCATTCCTTTAACACAGCTCATTTTGCCCTTGGTAGAAAACAGCAAGATGTGACTTTGTGCCTTAAAAGCTGTGTGGGAAATCTTTGATGTGCTGAAGCACGGGAGAATTTTAGCTGTGATTTCAGGAGGGACAAAATTTCAGTTGGATTTTTCCCTGCACTTGCACGGGCTATGTTGGGCTTGCAGTTCAGCAGAGGTGGTGCATTATCTGGTGCAAACAGAAGTAATGATGAGAAAAGGGAAAAAAAAAACCTTAAAAATATTTTAGCTGAACACTTGTTTTCTGTGGGAGCACATTTGGGGGCTTGCTATAGGACTTCCTTCCTGAATTTTGACAATCAATAAAATGTATATTTATTTATATGGGTTTGAGTCTGTAGAAGCCTAGAAGATAAGGGAGCTAATGTGTATGTCTAAAACACCAATTTTTGGATAGCTGTGGAGCCAACCAAAGATTGTTGGTAATGATACACTCTCAAAAAGAACAGGATGTGGATGGAGCAGGGGGGCATATGAAGGTAGGGCAGCACTTTTCTAGGACAATCATCCCTGTTCTGACTCCTGGAGATCAGCACGACACAGTCCAGTGCAAGTGCAGGAATGAGGTTGAGAAGCAGGCATGGACTGCAGCAGGGGATCAAGACCCCCCAAGGCCCCCAAAGCCCTGCAACTCATTTCCAGAAAGGTCTGGAACAACGGACTGCACATGATAACTAATTTGCATAGAAAATGAGAAACTTATTTCCAGGTGGGGAAAACCTATCTATTAACAGGTACCCCCAAGAAGCCTGGGCACATGTGTACCTTGTGGCCCAGCTGGATCAATGCTGGAGCCAAGATTGGTGCTCTTCCTTCCTTCCTTCCTGCCTTACTTTCTATCTTTCTTTTGCCCTCTCCTTAATCATTCTCTCTCTCTTCCCTTTCACTCCATCCCTTTATCCAAAACCCACTGCCATGTGCTTATATAAGGAGATCAGGGACTAACTTACACCAATTTCCATGCCAAGTGTGTAATTCACTAAATAAAAGCACGCTTTTGCAGACCCTCTGACCTCTGTCGTTCCTTTTGACCACAAGCATCTACGAATCTTGGGTGTTCCTTCCCCTTAAGGCTGGGACGCCACAGAGCCTCCCATAGATCAGTCTTGACTCTCCTCCTCAGGCCAAGCTCCATGGCTCAAGCTTTCAGAGGCCCCCCTCCAGCTCTGTGAAATCTTGAAAGGCACTTAATGAATTAGACATTATTAATATTCTCTTCCAGTATCAGAAGGCAGCAATTAACTCTTTGAAGACTCATCCCAAACACTGCTTTATAACTTTCAGTACTCAGAGGCAGCTATGTGATCTCATTGTGATTTTAAAGGATATCTTTCCAGAATAGTTATTTTCCTTGTTCGGGGTGAGGAAAAAAAGAAAAAAAGAAGAAGTTCAAAGTCCTGGTTCTGCCTTGGAGTGTGCATTAGTGATGTTAGATGTGCCGTAAAGATTTCAGAGCATGGAACATGATATGCTGCAATACTTTAGCTGAGCAGATGCCTTAAGGAGGTCATTCAACATGCCAGGCTCTAAATGTTACTTGGGAGTGAGAAAACATTATTTTCCCACTTCAACAAGACTTTCGCTTCCCTGTCGTGTGGAAATAACCTTTTGTGCTCAGTACTACTATTAATTTATTAGCCTTTTGAATGTCTAAATATTTTGCATTCTGTGGACTACATCAAAGTGCTGGCTGAGGGACAGGGTAGCACAAACACGTGTGTGCACTCAAATCCACGTATGTGTGTTTCAAAGAGCAGACCTGATGAGAGAAGACTTCTGCCTATACATTTTTGACAGTGAGAACAGCCACTTTCTCGTGCACAGAACCACGAAGGAGCGCATTTATGTTATAATTAGATGTCAAACCTTATGAGCGATGACTATGTAGAAAAAGTGCTAAGTATATATTTCTATTGAAATCAATTAAAGGAGACAATGATTTTCTTTCCATTTAGATTGCGTGACGCCAGCACAAACTGCTGCAGTACAGTGCAGCTGTCAAGCCCAGCCTCGCTGCCTGAACAACTGCTTTCTGCTTGCCTGATGGAACTGTCCTGCACGGCACTGCTTTCCCTCAGAGATGAGCTCACCGTCAAAATGCTTCCATGCCCAACAGGGAATCATGTATACTTTCAGCAGATAGGAGGTTTGAAACAATCCCCTGAATGACTTTATGTAACAGGACTTAGGTTGTGTCTCTGGTGCTGAACGTAGCATGATCTGCTTTGTGCCTAGGAACAAAACACAGAATTTCTGCAAGGCAGGCTCTGGCTCAGCACATCTTACTGCAATGCTAGAAGTAAGACTCCTCCAAACAAGTAGTTATTGACTAAAACTGCAGGAGACAGGTGCAGTTCATTTGATGTCCCTAATTATTTAAAAGTTAGTGATCATGGACACTCTCAAAATTGAAAGGGGATGTTTTTCCCATCCCACACTGGGCACTGAAGAGGGGTAAGATGATTACCTTCTAGAAGGACCATTCCACGGGCTATGAAGGTGATTGGTGACTACCTTGGACATTAGCACACAACTTTTAATTAAATTAATTCCCCTCTGCGTGTACCCCATTGACACAACCTTTCTTTGACTCTTCATTCGCTCTCACGTTACGCCCACACGTGCCCTCAGCCAAAACTTCCTTTCCTTCTGCAAAATCTAACATTTCCTTAGGAATGTTCTTCCTACTTACTGTGAGTCACTGTCCCCATGGCAAAGTCCACGTACCTAACACTGAGCTAGGGAGCAGGTATCTGTACTGAGAACTTGGGTTCTTTGAATTTTTCCACCTGGGTGACTCCGTACGCCAGGGCCCTTCAGGGAAACCAATTTTCCTTAAAAAATGTGTGTGAGAGAGAAGAAAATCCATGAAGACTCAGCCAGAGGGCTATTCCCCATAGGCATCCACGGACTACAGAGTTGAATTCCAGCACACTGCCCTGTCAGGAAAAGACATGTCCGTGTTTTGCTCAGGAAGCAAACTGAAGTGACAGGTTCACGGTTTTAAGAACGAAAGAATACACTTTGGTATAATGTATGTGGCATTATCTTGTCCCATGAAATCACCATCAGCAATGCCTGAGCAGAATTGTCATGGCAGGGCTGTAGTTGGTGGCACGTGAGATGGCAAAGGGGGTTGCTAAAGGCAAGTCTTGAGAGCACTTCTTATCAACAGAGAAGTGATAAGCTAGAAACCCTGAGCCAGATTTCAAGCCCCAAAACCCTCCTTCAGGTCTGGAGTTAACAACCTTAAAGTCAGAGGTAAGCTGACAAGCTGGAACCAAACCTGATTATAACTCAGCTCTTTTGGGCTCCAGCACAGACAGAGGGGGACTGTAATCCCATTCCACCTGCTTTTTGCCATGGGTACTTTGTGCCATATTTGGGATATTAATGAGCACAAGGAATGCACTAGAAACTAAACCTCCTCTGAAAGCAGCATTTGTATGATGCTCCAGTGGGTAGAGAGAAACTAGACTTCAAAAAGTAAAAATCTAGTTGTGTTGAACTCCTGTTACTGCAGAGGCTGAAACTGTCTTGTGAAAAACTGAGGTAGCCTTGGTACATTGTCAGGTGAGATGCCCAAGGTACAGCTGCAGAAAAATGTGCTTCAGCAGCTAGAGGATCACAGTTAATACTCAGTAATCTATAAATCATTGCTATGAAATTTCTCTATGAAAATGAAATTTATATAACCCTCATCAATCATAAAAAAATCATAAAGATGAAATTTTGCAGTCGCAATGCGAATTAAAGAATCCCTTAACCTGTTTGCAAGATTTGTCCTTATAGCTAATTAATTTTTAGATTGAGTGTTCTTTGAAAGAACTAATGGATAGTGAGCATTGTTGATTGATTATAAAACAAGCAGGAGGGTTTAAGAAGTGAGCTGTAAATGTAAAATCACTGCCATATTAAAATTCTGGACTATGCGACTGCAAGAAGAAGGTATTAATACAGTATTTTTGATGAGTGCGTTTTATTTATTTAACATCAATAAATTTCTCTTAGTTGGCCTATGCCATACAGATCCATCAGACTGTCCTCTGAACTGTATCTCAGCAGATGAAAGACTAATTCCTTCCCTTAAGGAATCCAGAATCTGGATTCTATGATTCCATAAAATATAACTTTATAAATTTATGCAATGGGGAAAAAAAAACAGCAACAAAATGAAAACCAATAACTACGGAGAAAAGGCAAAGAAATGTAATCCATGTATCATCCTGCTAGGGCTGCTCTTCAGAACTGCAAATCTACAGGTAACTTTTATTGAGCCATCATTACAAGCAGTGACAGGAGTTATTGAAAGGCCAGTCAATCTGCAATGACCTTAAAACATCAAGAGTGAATCAGGGGTTGTTAAACACTGCAAACAGTCTGCAGGAGCGTGCAGACGGTGAGAGAGAGGGAGAAAACAAGAGCTGTCGCCTTACCCGCTTCCTCAAATTGCAGGTGAGTGTGAGATTCCTCGAGAAGGAGTTTGCAAAAGCAGTATAGAAGTCCAACACTTTAAGCAAGGCTTCCCGTTTGATAATATGCAGGTCGCAGTATGTCAGAGCCCGAACGTTGGCACATGCGTGGGCCAGGCTGGTTTCCTTCCAGAAGATATCACCAAACACATCACCTTTACCTGAAAAACAGCAGGACAAATTTGTTGTAAGGTAGAGCTTAGGCAGTGTTCTTTGGCACACAGATGATTTCTTTCCAAACTGCCTTACACTTCCAATTATTCTCACATAAGCCCCCAGCTGTGAAAACTAATAAGGGTGAAAGTTTTAGAAGCATCTGAGGTACTTGAGTATCCTTAACAATAGCCCCAGGTTTTTAAGGTATTTATAGATCACCCTGTGAAGTGTCACAAAGCATATGAACCAGATTGTAAAGGCCCCCTTGTTGCTGAAGATACAAGTAATGGATTTTTCAAAGGCTTCCAAATATAATGAGCACTTAACTAATGTTCAGGTGATTGAATATTTCAGGTGTCTGTTCCCAAGTGATTTAAGGAGTCCCACTCTTCCAAAAACCCTCTGACATCCAGGTTCCTACATCTTCACGGCTCTACAGTGTGGTACAGGAGCCAGCTTCCAGGGCCCAAGGACCACATTATAAAGGATGTTTAAACGTTTTTAATTCAATTGAAGTGGCAACACTACTTCTGAAAAACCCATCAAAACCCTCACTGAGACTTTCAAACTTTAAATAGCCAGCTCTAAATCTTAAACACATCCAGAAGTCTAGTTCTAAACCCAAACTCATCCATTTAAATAGAGACTTAGGTTTAAGTCTGTATTTCAGTGTTTGCTGAGTAAGAAAGGGCTTGACACTTTAGACATCCACATGTATAAATACCTTCAACCAGCTGGGAAAATTACATCTGAAGGCCACTTCTGCATTGGCAGGCAGTGTAGCAGAACAGCTGATGCTGAGGACTTGCACATTTTGAGGACTTGGGACTAGTTGTAGTCCAGTCCCACGAACAGAGGAGCTCCAAGGACCGGAACTGCATGAGATGTGCTCTGACACACCTTGGCTTCCTTTCCTCTGCAAGGAATTCATACACCACACACCTATGCTAGACAATGGAGCTGGACAAGTTGGGAGGACGAGGACATCAGATTCAAAATCACACTTCTGACCCAACAAAAACACCAGCATGGGTGCAGACTGGAGATGGGCTTTCAGGTTTGGACTCTGTGGTTGTTCCAAGAAGAGGCAGCGGAGTGGCAGCAATAGAAGCATTCAAAAACTGCCTCTTGCTATGTGGCCACGGGCTGGGCAAGGGCCATGGTGTGTGGTTTGTGGGTGACATCTCAAATCCTGAAGCAGAAACCATGGTACAAAGGGTATTTTTTGTTTCAGACCCCAAAGATATCCCTGCTCTTTATTTTAGCAGTTAGTTATTAAAAGGAAAGTAAAATCAGTTAGTCAGTGGCTATTGATCCCAGGTACCTCAAGCAGGCCATTGCTGAAGGTTAATGATGTTATAGTTTTGAGATAAAAAGGTAACACATTTTAATATTTCCTCTTTTAAGAACTTGTAACATTTCACTCAACTCTACTGTGGGAACCAGAGTGCTAATTTATCCAACATTATTACTTTTGGGGGTCAGAGGTTCTATTTCTCTATTTCCATTTCTGTTTTAGGTATTGTATCCAGTAAAATATATCTAACATTTCTCAGGCAGAGTGAAATAAATGGTTCCAGTCCTCCTTCATTTCCCTGTTTTTATTTTCTAGCAAAAGTCTCTATAGCAGAATCATCCCTTAGAAAGGCTATAAATGCATCTCATTGCACTGCTTTTAATTCTACATATTTTGATGTAATTAAAATTAACTACAATACATAACACAGCTGGTATAATTTATAAAACAAGTTGTTTTAAAATGTTTTCCTTAATACAGAGCATTTTCTGGTAACATTATAATTTATCCAATGTACTGTTTTGAAATTACCTTTTGCAGTTAATTACCCTTGTCTATACCCACAGTTCAAAACCCAATTTACAGACATACTCAGCACAGTTACATAATTTATAGAAAACAGACCATTTCTGAAATGCACAAAATTGCTTAATGGATTTGCTCTCTGAGGTGGACACAGGACAGAACTGAGTCCTGCTTTTGGTGGCTGCAGAGTGCACTTAAAAAGACAGAATTCTACGATAGGGGCTATTATGGTTTTCCCTCTGAAATGTGAGTGAGCCACTTGTTTTCTTTTCAAATTGAAGGTAATACACAGTTAATTTAAGTCAAGAGGTTGAAAGCAGTGGATGCTCAGTCCAGAACTCTGCACGACGGTGTGTTACAGAATCTGTACACAAACCACTGATTAATGAAACCACTATTCATAAACTTGAGAAGATCTCAATGTCTTCAGTTCTGTGAGGCAGGGAACTGCACTGGCTCTCTCAGAAAGGGTGGGACATGATGAACTGAACTTATTCACTCTTCCATGAGCCATCATGGATTTGAATGGTGAAACTCCAAACTCCTCTTACGTTGTTGTTTATACTCTTTAGAAAGTATAAAATCTTGGAAGCTTTTAAGAGTTCTTGAATTTGACATTTCCCCACACAAGTCCAAGCCTTATTTGATGGTTATAAATGTGCTAAGGAATGTACTGAACGAAAACAAAACCTACCAGATCCTCCAAAACAACGTGTCTTTTTTCATAAATACAGAGATTAATGTAGTGTACTTCATCCCTATTAAATGTAGTTCACTGCATAGAGAGTGGTAATTATTCACTCAGGACAAGATTAGACGTTTCGAAGAAATTCTTTACTCAGTGGGTGGTGTGGCACTGGAACACGATGCCCAGAGAAGTTGTGGATGCCCAACCCCTGGAAGTGTTCAAGGCCAGGCTGGATGGGGCTCTGAGCAACCTGGACTAGTGGAACATGTCTCAAACTGTTCTACGATTCTAAGGCTAATTTTACACATTGCAACTAAATAAAAAAAAAACTTTCAGAGTTGTGAGAGAAAATCTAACTGGTAGGTCTGACACACCAGCTACTCAAAGACTTGCATTTATTGAGGCCTCAGCACATTAACTCTCAAACCTGCATGGTCCTTAGTCCTGAGCAGTCTTAATACCCCTCCTGACTGAAAGCAAAGCTGTGGGAAATTCTCCTGCCCCTGCTCTCACAGTGCCCAAAGCACTGCTGAAAAAAAGAATGCCCTAAATTAGAGTGGGAACTGCTTGCATACATTTTCCACTTGGTGTGAGGAAAGGGAGGAAGAGAGTCAGTATTTGGACACTGCTGGATTAAAGCTGGCAGAAACACGGGTGTAAGGATACAATCACAGAATCAAAGAATCCTTTGGGTTGTAAAAGACCTCTAAGATCATCAAACCCAACCATTGACCCAGCACTGTCAAATCCACCACTAAACCATGCCCCTAAGTGTCACATCTATAGAATTACAGACTCATTTGGGATGGAAAAGACCTCCAAGATCATAAAAACTTGAATTTGGGGACTGAAAGAACCATGGAAAACAGTAAGACATGTAGGGTGTTGTGAGGCATAATTTTTGCTGAAATAGGCTACACTGCTATCATTCTAAATACATAAAATATACATATATATATTCATGCATATTTTCATAAATATATTTAGAGACAATCATACAGTATTTAACTATGTAATAAGTCATGATATTTCTATGCACCATCTTCTATATTTTATAACTCTCCCACACAGATTTGAGGGGGCAGATATTCTCCACAGCCTTGAACCATGGACTGACTTGCCAATTTGTCAGACAGCAGCTCATGCCTAGACCTTCCAGGCAGAAAAATTCGTAAGGGCCTTATGAAACCCCCAGGAGATTGCGATGAAGGGAAAAAAGCTTGAACTTGCAGGAATAAGGACTTCTGTTGAAACAGTGTCTCAGAACCCACAAATATATATATATAAATATATATAGAGAGAGATAAAAATATAAATATATATATATATAAAGACAAAATTTGTCCTCCTTCAGATGGGGACAGAAACTGAGCTAATAAATATCCTAGCATACATAGGAGCTTGATGGGTCCTTTGGAAGAAAGTTTAGGCAGGCAGTTAAAGAATCAGTTCTTGGTGGGAAATAGCACTGGGTAAAAACACATAAACAGGACCAAAGCTTCTTCTTAAGGTAATGAAGTGTTTTTCTGTGCAGTCTTAGCTAATAGACCAGCTTGCATTTCCCCCATTTTAAAACATCTCCAAAGTCCCATCAGTCACACTAGCAAAAGCTGGACATGATGAATAATGCCGGCTTTCCGTCACGACACACTCAAATCTTATTTTGCTTATAAAAAGCAAAGGCTGAAATTGCTTCACAACCAGTAAAACTGTATCAGGTAGAGAAAGTGTTCATCTAATCATTTCAATTCCCACTAACTATGAAGTGATGACAGCATGCACACAGGTGGAGGTCAGTGACCAAATGCCACGTTCGTGCAGCCATAATTACATATACTGGTATCAATATTCACACAAATACATCTGTGTCTATATATCTGCAGTGGAACCTCTGGCTGCAGGACAGATGTGCCCCAAACTGATGTAGACATCCAGTGAGCAGGGAGGGAATCAGCTCCTGTTACCCAGAGCAGCAAACAGCTCCATGATGGTTCAGGGATTAAGCCAGCTCTGCAGCTCCTTATCATGGGACGTTGGAGTTGGTTGCACAGGTTTACAAAATTGTGGGATATATTCATGGAATAAAACCTATCTGTAGCTATTAGACACTAAAGATTTCCCTCTGGGTGAAATAAAATTGAAATATAATTCAGTGGAGGATTGGAGAATATTCTGGGGAAGCACACATTCCTACTTTCTCCTGCACATCTGCTATTGATCATTTTTGGAGACAGGCTGCTGGGCTGCCTGGTTTTCTGGACTTAGTTGATACAGTTGTTTTTGTCTAAAGAGGGGATCTGGAGAAGATGGGGGTGATTCAGTGGTGCACATTCATCAGGCCCAGTTGCCATCTAGGACATCACTGCTTCCTGTAAGCACAGCCATGATATGCAGAGATGACACTACACTGTGAGAGAGGTCTCCTTGCTCCTGTGAACGTTTTATCCTCAACCTCAGTCTTTTCCTGGGGCATCCAGAAGGGCCACAACTCCCTT